GGAAACCAACTATTGGTTGGGATATGTTATAAACCACCTAATGTTAATATTGGCGAGGAACAACAGCTGTTTGAGCAAATTGAGAAAGCTGCAAATCTGGGTAACACTTTAATTATTGGAGATTTTAATTACCCGGATATAAATTGGGACAGAGGGACTAGTGCCTCAGCAAAGGGAATTAGGTTTTTAAACTTGTTAAATGACACCTTCATGTCACAACTTGTGCAAGCACCAACTAGAATGGATGCTTGTCTGGACCTGGTTTTAACAAACAGCGTTGATCTTTTGACCAACATTCAAGTAGGTGAGCACTTGGGAAATAGTGATCACAATATAGTGTCCTTTGAAATAAACTCAAAAAAACAAAAGCACATGGGGAATATTAAAACATATAATTTTAAAAAGGCCAATTTCAATAAGTTAAGGGAAGCTTTACAATATATTGACTGGCATAAACTCTTTAGTGAAAAGAACACTGAGGATAAATGGATCATCTTCCAACAAATATTACAAAGGTACATTTCTCAGTATGTACCGTTGGGAAATAAATATAAAAGAAACAAATTAAAACCAATGTGGCTTAGTAGAGAAGTAAAACAAGAGATTACAACTAAGAGAAGGGCATTTAAAGCATTTAAATCGGACAAATCAGATGCATCTTATAAAAGATATAAGGATGCAAATAATGCGTGCAAAAAGGCAATTAGACTTGCTAAACTTCAAAATGAAATAATGATAGCTGAAGAGAGCAAAACCAACCCCAAAGCATTTTTTAAGTACATAAATTCTAAAAAAAACCAAAATGAAAGTGTAGGTACACTAAAAACTGAAACGGGGGTGTTAGTTAATGAAGTCCAGGAAAAGGCAGGAATTTTAAATAACTATTTCTCCTCCGTATATATTAAGGAAGAACCCATGGCAATAGATGTGCAAATGATTGCTACTAAAAACTTGCAGAATAATTGTAATTGGTTAACTCAAGACAAGGTGCTGCAGCAACTAAAGAAAGTTAATATAAACAAAGCTCCAGGGCCTGACGGTATCCATCCACGTGTACTTAAGGAACTAAGTGCAGAAATAAGTGAACCTCTGTTTTTAATCTTTCAAGATTCTTTTCTTTCAGGAAGTGTTCCGGAGGATTGGAGGAAGGCAGATGTGGTTCCTATATTCAAAAAGGGTTCAAAATCCTTGCCTGGAAATTATAGACCTGTGAGCTTAACTTCTGTGGCTGGTAAAATATTTGAAAGGTTATTAATGGATAATATTCAAGAATTCCTTGAGAAGAACATGGTTATCAGCAAAAATCAGCATGGTTTTATGAAGCACAGGTCATGTCAAACTAATTTTTGATTGCGTTCTACGAAGAAGCAAGTAGAAGTATAGATCAGGGTGTTGCCGTGGATGTGATCTATTTGGATTTTGCCAAGGCATTTGATACAGTTCCACACAATAGATTAGTGTTCAAACTCAAGGAAATCGGTCTAGATGAAAATGCTTGTTCTTGGGTAGAACATTGGCTTAAAACAGAGTACAAAGAGTTGTCATTAATGGTAAATTTTCAAGCTGGACAGAGGTGGCAAGTGGTGTCCCTCAGGGGTCTGTTCTGGGACCCCTTCTATTTAACATGTTTATAAATGATCTTGAAGACTGCATTGAAAGTCATGTTTCAGTGTTTGCAAATGACACCAAACTTTGTAAAACAATACAATGTGAGCAAGATATTACTTTGCTGCAGAGGGACTTAGATAGACTGGGGACTGGGCACTCAAATGGCAGATGAAATTTAATGTTGAAAAATGCAAAGTTATGCACTTCGGCGTAAAGAATACACAAGCAACGTATACCCTTAATGGAAGCGAATTAGGGATAACAACACATGAAAAGGACTTGGGAATTGTTATAGACAACAAACTATGCAACAATGTGCAATGTCAATCAGCAGTGGCCAAGGCCAGTAAGGTATTGTCATGCATGAAAAAGGGCATTCATTCTCGGGACAAGAATATCATTTTGCCTCTTTATAAATCACTGGTAAGACCCCATATTGAATATGCTGTGCAATTTTGGGCACCTGTTCTAAAGAAGGATATTATGGCACTAGAAAAAGTGCAGAGGCGGGCTACAAAATTAATAAAAGGAATGGAACATATCGGCTATGAAGAAAGGTTAACAAATTTAAACCTATTTAGTTTAGAAAAACGTCGCCTGAGAGGGGATATGATAACATTATACAAATATATTCGGGGCCAATACAAACCATTGTGTGGAAATCTATTCACAAACCGGACTTTACATAGGACACGAGGCCATGAGTTTAGACTGGAAGAAAGAAGATTTCGTCTAAGGCAAAGGAAAGGTTTTTTTACTGTAAGAACAATCAGGATGTGGAATTCTCTGCCTGAAGAAGTGGTTTTATCAGAGTCCATACAGATGTTCAAACGGCTACTAGATGCATACTTGCAAGAACAGAATATTCAAGGATATAATCTTTCAATGTAGGGTAATAACTGCTTGATCCAAGGATAAATCTGACTGCCATTCTGGGGTCAAGAAGGAATTTTTTTCCTAGCTTGTTGCAAAATTGTGCTTCAAACTGGGTTTTTTTGCCTTCTTTTGGATCAACAGCAAAAAACAAATGTGAGGTAGGCTGAACTTGATGGACGCAAGTCTCTTTTCAGCTATGTAACTATGTAACTATGTAATTTTGTAAAAAAAGAAAGAAAACCTTTAACATTTTTACAGGTTTTTTTTTTTTTTTGGGTTGGGGGGGGGTGCCAAGCACAGGATCCGCCCCGGGTGCCAAATGCTCTAGGTATGCCCCTGTGTGTGTATATATATATCACGCTGTCTTTAGTAATGCCGGGTGCATAAGCCAGCTGGCTGGATTACATACATTACACAAGATCCAGCGCACTCACCTATCCACTAAACAGCAACTTCAATGTTGAAAGATTTTATTAGTTTTTTTTAAAAACACCTAGTCTAGGCAAAAATAATGGGGGTTTAGTTACATTATATGATCATACATTGCATAAACCTGCCACAATGTCAATGTACCCCATCTTTGGCAGGTCCTACACTAACAGCCTAATGTCGGCTCTTATGAGATTAACCACTTACTTGAGGGAAAAAAAATCCATCTGGGGCTCTCTGCAGTACAAGGCTAAATAGGGCCCTGGAATGAGGCACCTGTGACAGGGAGGGGTGCAAAACCAAGGAGTTGGCTAGACTCCCAAATATATACATATGAAACAAGGGGGGGTTGGCTGCACTCACCTGAACATGCATAAATGGGGGTGCTGCTGGGGGCCAAATAATACAAAACACAAGATCCAGCGCACTCACCTATCCACTAAACAGCAACTTCAATGTTGAAAGATTTTATTAGTTTTTTTTTATTTTAGCACCCCCATTTATGCATGTTCAGGTGAGTGCAGCCAACCCCCCCTTGTTTCATATGTATATATTTGGGAGTCTAGCCAACTCCTTGGTTTTGCACCCCTCCCTGTCACAGGTGCCTCATCCCAGGGCCCTATTTAGCCTTGTACTGCAGAGAGCCCCAGATGGATTTTTTTCCTCAAGTAAGTGGTTAATCTCATAAGAGCAGACATTAGGCTGTTAGTGTAGGACCTGCCAAAGATGGGGTACATTGACGTTGTGGCAGGCTTATGCAATGTATGATCATATAATGTAACTAAACCCCCATTATTTTTGCCTAGATTAGGTGTTTTTAAAAAAAACTAATAAAATCTTTCAACATTGAAGTTGCTGTTTAGTGGATAGGTGAGTGCGCTGGATCTTGTGTATTGTATTATTTGGCCCCCAGCAGCACCCCCATTTATGCATGTTAAGGTGAGTGCAGCCAACCCCCTCTTGTTTTATATATATTTGGGAGTCTAGCCAACTCCTTGGTTTTGCACCCCTCCCTGTCACAGGTGCCTCATCCCAGGGCCCTATTTAGCCTTGTACTGCAGAGAGCCCCAGATGGATTTTTTTCCTCAAGTAAGTGGTTAATCTCATAAGAGCAGACATTAGGCTGTTAGTGTAGGACCTGCCAAAGATGGGGTACATTGACGTGTGGCAGGCTTATGCAATGTATGATCATATAATGTAACTAAACCCCCATTATTTTTGCCTAGATTAGGTGTTTTTAAAAAACTAATAAAATCTTTCAACATTGAAGTTGCTGTTTAGTGGATAGGTGAGTGCGCTGGATCTTGTGTTTTGTATTATTTGGCCCCCAGCAGCACCCCCATTTATGCATGTTCGGGTGAGTGCAGCCAACCCCCCCTTGTTTCATATGGATCACATACATTGTCAGAAATGATGGCTGCACTCCACGGTCTTCTTTTAAAATCCAAATTGCTTTATTAGATGTGCATTAAAATAACGATCAACGTTTCAGCCCCACTCTGGACTTTCTTCAGGATCAGGAAAATACAATATATTGTGGGGCTGAAACGTTGATCGTTATTTTAATGCATATCTAATAAAGCTATTTGGATTTTAAAAGAAGACTGTGGAATCTATATATATCATTATATATAGATTATTTTGGTCATGTGGGTTACAGAATGTTATACCTCTGTCTGATGTATTTTTCTCTGATATCCCATTCGTGTTTAAGAAGATAAAGTTTATAGGATGGTAATCTGAGCACAATTTCACATCTCATATTTTCAAACAATTGATTAGTAACTTCAGGAGACTTCCAGTGACGTGGAACAGCCATAGTGGCTGAGATGAGAATATGGCCTAATGTTATACGTATGTGTTTAGGTGAATTGTCAGGAATCTTCTTGAACAAACATAATTCAGGTGTTAGTGTGATTATGGAGTTGTCAATAAGTCTAATCAAACTAAGAATGCTGCCCCAGTAAGTCTTCAGTTTAGGACATGTCCACCTGACCACACTGACAATTGTAGCTTATAAATCTTGGAGGGCTATATAGAATCTTGTAGTGGGATTCCATATGTGACACATTAAAGCTGATGTCAAATGTAACCATTCAGCTCATATTCCTTACCTAATGCACTCTCCCATTTAGTCATTGATTCAAACTTTTGTGTCAGCATTGAAGCCAATAGACCTTAACAAATAGAAATTGTCCTTTTCCGAGAAATAGATGCTTTCATTGAGAGACATTTTAGTCTAAAAAGACTTGGGCCCCGAGGGATGGAGCGAGATGACGTAGCATATGCAAGCTGCGTACTCGTGGAATGTGGCTGAGGGGGCGATCGAGGGAGCCCACGAAGAGTGGAGGGGACGACCTGACATACCTAGGAGGCGGTGAAGCTACTGAATAGAGAAAACCCGAGGGAGTAAATTACATGCGTTTATAATCAATGTGAATCTATATGATGGATTCACACTGACACCAGGAGAACAGCAAGTTGCAAGGAAGCTGTGCCGGAGTGTATCTTCATAAGCTAAGTGCCTAAGGATTTATCACTTGTAAATACTCTGCAAGGGTTAGCCTTTGGAAGATTAGAGGACTCCCCCGTAAGAGCTGTGGAAGCTCATAGAGAGCAGCAATTAGCGGCAATATAAGATGTAATGTTTATTTTACCTAATTTAACCTTTGCCTATATCATGACATTGACAATCAAACGGGCTGCAGCGAGTTAAGAAAGCACGTCCTGTGGGCTTTTGATGTTTAGTGCTTTTTTTTTTTTTTTTTGCTGATTTTTATGCTGTTTTTATTTTTCTCAGTCCTGTCTTGATTTTCTCCGGTTTTGTTTAATCCCATCTGTTTACAATCCTCTCCTTTTCCTTCTAAATAGTGTATTAATTTTAATACCTCACAAATCATGCAGTGTGAAATGTAATAACACAACTGTATATCAGAGCAGGGAGGAAGGAAAGCAAGACACAAAAAGAACATTACAAAAACCAAAGATAGTATTAGACCAAAGACCTTATAATCTCCAGAAAGAGAGTAAACAAATTAAAATGTAAATGGCTACTAAAAAGCCACAAAATGGCAAGCATCTGAAAAAAAAAATGAAAATAGAAAAACACCTTTCCTTTTTTTTTCCACCAAACCCACCAGGTAATAAATCAAACCTGGAGGAATCCCTCCTCTCAAACAATCCACTAGAGATAGGCACAAATGGAGGAAAACCAAGATTCAAGAGAAGGAATAAATGAATATGACCATTTACTAAGGCACCATGGAATAGAATAAAAACTAAATGGGTTGGAACAAAAGGAAAAGATCCACAAAGAAGAATATCTGGCGCTGGAAAAAATAAGATGGCGGACATGGAGAATAAATTGCTAGACTGGTTAAGACGGAACAACTTAAGAATCAGAGGAATATCAGAACAAGTAAATGCAAAAAGTCTGGAGCCATACATAGAGGAATTCATTAAACATCTAAAAGTGGAATGGGATGCCAGAATGATGGTGAGATGCTGAAGAGTGAATAAGCCTAAGGGGGTCCCAGAACACCTGCCAAGAGATGTACTGATATGCTGTGCCTCTTTTAAAATTAAGATGCAAATATTGAGAGCCATAATACGCAAAGAATGCGCAGAAGAATACAAAACACTGAAAATTTTTCAGGACTTTTCATGGCCAACCAGACAAAAGAGGAAGACCTTTTCTGATGGCACATTAATGTTGAGACAGAACAATATTAATTACCGATGGGGGTTCCCCACAAAAAGTCTCATATCGCATGAAGGGAAGATATCTCCCATCAATCGGGCAGATGATATAAAAAACTGGCTAATCGAAAACAAAATTGGAAGTAGCTCCAATAACTAGATAAATAGTGAGGTCCCAATTATCTAACATAAATGGGCACTAATGTCATTCAACCACTTAAGGAGGGAAAACTTAAAGAAGTACGTTTGAAACAAGAAGATCCACAGACTATATAAATTATATATGTTTTATATATTTTTCTTTTTGCTTTTTGCTTTTTGCAACCACTAGCACAAGGGGATAACGGGACAATACAAGTAATAGTTAAAATCAGGAACGTAGGGGAAACAAAGTAATGACAAAAATAGAAAGTATTAGGAAACTGATTAAACAGGCACGTAGTAGTACAACCAATTCACAAGGTGAAGAAAATTACCTCTACATTATTGGAGTGAAACAAAATAAAATATACTAATTAAAATAAAAGATAGATACACATGAAATACACACTTACACAGAGAGGTAGAAAAAGAAACCACACTATTTATTAGAGAGGTATGATTAAGAATAACACAAGCTTTGCACAACGAGGAAGTGGAGTTAGAGAAAGTAAAAATAATTACACAAGGATTGAGTTAATAATAAGTTAATAGGTCAGTGGGTTTTAGATTTATAGGGTCTTGTTTCTACCACTTCTTTCCGTGGTACATTATTTGGTTACTCGTTCTTTTATGTTTTTTTTTCTAGTAGTGCCTTAAGGTAGGCTCGCCCTAAATCGCCTACCCTCAGTAAGCTTTTCCCACAAAAGTGGGACCTATATCTGAGTAATGTTGTTCATTAATCGAGATGCTGTATGGTGTTTTTTTTGTTTTTTTTTGCCATACATGACATTTGTCTTAGGTTGTTTCCAATGTTTGGGATCAAACCGTCTTATTTTTATGTTACCACTAATAAAGACTGTTTTTATCATATCTAAGACAACCCTGGGAGAGAGTCTTGAGAACCGAAAAGAAACTATAAATTAAGTTGGCCTCAATAAATGCCTGGGAGATAAACACACCATGTAAAAGGTCTATAATCTTAGATTTCTTGATAAAAAATAAGATACAAATCTGTGCACTACAAGAAACCCATTGGATGAACTCTAACAAAAATACAATGTCCATCATAAGTGCAGCATTTAAAAAAAAAAAAAGTGTAACATTTATGTACACAAAAAATGTTTCCCTAAACATTAAATATCAAGAACTATACCAAGGTGGCCAATATATTATTTTAGTATGTGAAATAAACAACATGCAATTTACACTAGCTAACATCTATGCACCAAACAAAGCCAAAAGAAATCTTATTTCAAAGGAATTTAAGAAAATAGAGCAGTTCAAAGAATAGTAAGTACTAATTATGGGGGACTTTAGTTGTGTAGTTGACCCTTTGAAAGATAGAGCCAGAAGGACAGGAAAAGTAGGAAAACAACTGCATTCTAAATAGAATGCAGAAATGAACGCATAAATATAATTTAAGAGATGTGGAGAACATTCCATCCCTCCGACTTAAACTACACATACTATTCCAGAACATTCAACTCTAGGATTGATCTTATTCTGAGAAACGTGACCATGCTACATCTTGTCAAAAGAATAGATATACAGGATATAGCATGGTCAGACCACCCCCTATTATGCTGGAATATAAAGATACCTTTGATACTTTCCGCAAAGAGTGGCGTATAAAACATTTTATTCTACACACACACAAAAAACAATGTTGAAGAAATTAAGAAAATAGTTTTTTTTCTTAAAAAACTAAAATAAAGGTACACTGGATATCAGTGTCTGGTGCGCTTATAAAAGTGTAGTTAGAGGTTACATGATAAAAATGGCAGCCCCTGCAAACAAAGGAACACTGCCCCTCTTCAAGCTATATATTACACTAAATGAATATAAAGGGCAGAATAAATAACACAAATAGCAAGGAAGATTGCAAAAACAGATAAACAACCAGTTAATGAACAAAGCAAGCATACAGCTTGAAGTATTAGAATCTGAATGGTGTCTAAATGGCAATAAGCCAGATAATAAATAAATAAAAAAAAAAGAGAAACATAAGAGTGATATATAAAATAAAGGATAAAGAAACTTCCCTAATGGTCCCAGAAAAAATAGGAAGAGCATTTTAATGATTTTATCAGGACTTATACAATTTACCAGAAGAACTATTTGGTAGGAAAAAAGAGAGAGAAATTTGAGAGTGTAATTATGCCAAAAATCCTGCCTGACAATTAAAGCTGATAAACCAGCCCATAACAGAAGAGGAGGTTAGTAAATCTATAGGTAAGCTTAAAATAAGGACTGCTCCAGGCCCAGATGGCTTTACAAACGAATGAAAGAGCAATTAAAAGGGGAACTCACTACCATCTTTAACTACATAATGAAATCAGGATGCTGTCCTGAAGAGCTGTTGAGAGCGAATATTTATCTGCATCTCAAAGGCAGATAAAAACCTAGAACTGATTGGCAATTATAAACCAATTTCATGAATTAATTCTGCTATCAAATATTATCCTCTATTCATGCTGAAAGAATTAAAATAGTTATACCATAGTTAAAGAATAATGACCACGTAGGTTGTATACCAGGGAGGTCCTCAATCAATAATCTCAGAAAAATAATAAACATATTAGAAAAAACAGAATCCCTCTAATGTTACTGTCAGTAGACACAGAGAAAGCATTTGACTGGGTTGGATGGGGTTTCTTGGTCGCTAACGTAAAACAATTTGGAATCAGTGGACCGATATTACAAGCCATATCCGCTCTCTACAGCTCTCCATCCGCAAAGATAACGGTCAT